AATTGTTTAGATTACAGCACACCTGCTAGGATTATAGCTTTTCTTGTGTTTACTTGATTACAACAAAATATACGAGAGTTTACGTCAAAAGCAATTGAGAATCGTCTGCACCAGCCTAACTAAAATTTGTCTAGGAACAATTCAGAAATGAGCGCAGCAGTTTTCCTCTTGAAACTAAAGCGGGAGCACATTAACTCAAGTTTGCGCAAATGAAAATTGAAAATCTAACTTACCGGCTGGTATGATGAAAAGAACCAGGAAAGTGGCAGAGATGAAGAGAAATGCAGTAGCCATGATTCGAGCACGAGATTTTTAGCAGATCTCTCTATATGAAACTTGGGAATGTTCTCAAAACTACTTCTAGTAGCCAGTGTATCAGCTGAGTGAGGTTACGCTATTTAAAACTCATTGGACAGACCACGTGACTGAAATTGTTGTCGTCACGATCATTACTGAGGGATTGAAACTAAAGCGTGCTGTCGATGCCGTCATCACTGACCTTTACAGGTTAAATGATTTTTTTTTGTTGTTTTTACGTGACGAGGAAAATTTATTCAGCATAATGTATTGCAACATCAGCATCGTTTCCTTTAGAACAGGAAAAAAGAAGAGTCAATCGGAAATTACTGAATTGACATGGAAAAATACGGCCTAGGATGAGAAAGATTAAAAGGGAATTGCAGTTTATGATTAGAAGATAATAACGAGACCGAAAAACAAAATATGGCCAAGAACTGCAATCAAACCTGTATTAAGTGGTCACCCTTGGGGAAGACCACTCAATACAAATTCCACAGAATGGGGTTTAAATCGACGAAAAATCGCTATTTTATGCCATAATTGATCATTAAATGATTATAAAGTTTGTTTCAAAAAACTTGCTCAAAAATGCAAATTTATTAAGCAACATCAACAAAGTGGTGGTACAGCGTAAAAAAAGTAATATATTATCTAATAGCTGGACATTTTGGTCATAAAACACCAAGTGATTCTCGTGATGTTCAAGCGTGATATTGGCCCTATCAGCCCCATGAAGAAAAACCAATTTGTGATGCGTTGAGAAATTTTAAGTCGAAGTACTTTTATTGATTTCGGGAGATAAACGCGGAAGAAAATTCATTGGTAACTCATGGAAGGAATTTTATAGTACTTAAAAGATTATTCCTAGTTTTATCTAAATGGTTCCGCATGTGAACGTGAAGACAATAAGCACAGGCCGTTAGGTCTCAGTCAAGGGCGAGTGACGACCGCTTAACAGAAGTGACCGATTGCTGGAGATGAAACCTAGAGTTGTAGGCGAAAAGATGACTTACATTCATCATTAAAACTAATGCACTACTCCCAAACGTGACCTGCATTAATCGTGCAGAATTGATTTATTTATGATGGCAAGTCCTATAACGTAAAAGTAAGCTCGAGGTTAGAAAATGAAACGAAAAAGCCTCCCAAACCTTAAATCATTCAGTGTAGACAATGTGTAAGCCTTATTTTTGATGCGAATAAAGGGGGCAAGTTTCTTAAGAAATTGTAGTGTTGCGAAGGTGGGGGACTGATACAAGATAATTTAACTGATATTATAAATATTAGATATAGTAAAGAATTTCTAATGCACTACTCCCGAACGTGACCTGCATTAATCGTGCAGAATTGATTTATTTATGATGGCACGTCCTATAACGTAAAAGTAAGCTCGAGGTTAGAAAATGAAACGAAAAAGCCTCCCAAACTTTAAATCATTCAGTGTACACAATGTGTAAGCCTTATTTTTGATGCGAATAAAGGGGGCAAGTTTCTTAAGAAATTGTAGTGTTGCGAAGGTGGGGGACTGATACAAGATAATTTAACTGATATTATAAATATTAGCTATAGTAAAGAATTTCTAAGCTGATGTTTCTAGCGTTAGCCCTTTGTCAGCGCTCTAAAAAAAGAGCTAACGCTCATATTTTCGATTTGGTTGAGTTCTTAGCGACATGTGGTTGGGTTCTTAGCGACTTCAAAAGTGTCATATTGCATTTAACTTTGTTACGCGTGGTAAACTTACTGACTGAGTGAAAAAAAAAATGACGCGATGACGGTCAAGAGAACTTGTTTAGTTACATGTCATTTAGTGAATTCTTATATACAATACTGAAGTATTTGGTCAAGATTTGAATTTTAAATCCAAAATTCCACGGTTACGTGGGTTTGACCATTGAACTCCTAAGATCTTCTCCCCTCTGACTGATACACATTTTCTTGTAAATTAGTTACGAGAATTTGGTGTTAGAGTAAGAAAGTAGCTTTGACCTGATAAGTTTGAGAATTCTCATCAACTGTTTGCTGGATAATGTATGTATATAGTAGGGGGTAGCTACATTTTAATCACTTCTGGAAGTTAAGGGCTAAGGCCATCACTGTGAGTTTCCGAACTTTGGTTGTCTTGTTTAGTTGTCCGATTCTTTGGTGTCGTTTCTCGGATTAATCGCTTTCTGTATTTTGCTATGAACTTCTTGGGAACATACAAGTTTATCCAATTATTTATTATCCTTACGTGAGTCCTATGATTCAAGTGATTATAGCGGCTTTTCCTCAGCCGTTGTTTAGACGTGATACTCAAACAATGACGTTCATTGGCGGAATAGTGCGGTTTTGCTGAGGTCCTTCAAAGTTCCTGCTTTGGGCTTTCGTACTCCACCGTTAATTGATGATCGGAAATATTACACACGATTTTATTCGTTTGGGGGGGTTTCGTGAGAATATTTGGATGGGTATTCTGATCAGAAATGTTTAAACTTCCGAGGTCAGTTTAGTGGTGGCATGTAGTGCAGATTCCTCGAACCCCCTACGTGCTTAGGCTTTCGTACTCAAAGATTGATTGCTTGATCGGACAAGTAAAGTACGCACGTTTTTGCTAATTTTTGTGATGCTCTGGTGTATTTTGGTTCATGTTTTGGTCAAAATTGTTTAATCCTCCACGGTCAGTTGGCCGGCATACGGACCTTGTATGTAGAAGCGTGTAATACAGAGGTTAGCGGTCAGAATGGCTAAAGAGAACAAAAGAGACGGGAAGTTGTTTAAAGTAAAAATTATCAGAAATTGAAGCAGTGGTGGTAGACACGGTGAAAGAAAACGAGCTGAAAGCCCAAATTTGGACCGCTTGATACCTTTTGCTTAATTTGTTATGCGCGAAATTTGTTATTTGACAAGGATTCAATGTGTATACAGGGGGTAAGTTTCTAAACAATTTATGGTGCCGTGTCGGTGGGGAAGAATACAAGATGCTGTAGTTTGCAAGATATCAACTGAGTTAGTAATGTAAATTTGCCACCGTGGAAGAGATTCTGAACTGACGTTTAGAGCCCAATCCCTTTGTCAGAGCGAATGACGAAGGGCTAACGCTCGACACGTCAGTTTTTCAATGGTGCCCCATTTACATGATCGACTTAGTTGATAAAAAGGTGGTTTTCGTGTGCGTCTGTTGTCAATGCAATTGTTTGTTGCAGTTGTGGTTGTTTTTGGTTTTCAAACTGCAAAACTTTTTCTTTATCCTCGTATCACTCTACCAACAATTTCATATTTTTGTCTTCAAACGGATTTTCATTCAAAACAATACTAAGTCATAGTATTGTTTAAAAGAGAACACGGCAGAATCACCGATCAAAAGATGATAAGCGTATTGATAGTTCTCGTTAAAACACCCATCGTTTAAAAAGCACTCTATAAAATGACCGCTTTTATCTGCGAAAAAAGCCTTCAACTTATTGTAAAGCGAAAGAGGTACTGGCTTGTTGACTTTCTTTTCCCATGCAGTTTTCTCGCCAAATGATCCAAATATACTCAATTCTTCGGTACTCCGTTCTTTTATGTCTCCAATATCGTCTACGATATCATCAGCGGCTTCTCCTTCAAGTGCTGGCCCAGCAATGACATTTTCCTCGTCATCAAGTTCATATTTCTCCAAGTTAAGGCCTCTTAGAAACCACCTTGGTTGTAGCATATCCAGAATCTTTTTCATAATTATCTTTTTGGTTCTGTACTTTGCTCGCTTCATTAAATCCTCGTGCGACTCCATGTCAAGTCGAGGTCCTCCCTTACCTCCAAAGTTCTTCCATATCTCTTGACAAACCTCGTTCATTTGCACGTTCCCCACCCTTTGGTTGTGAAGTCATAAAATGGATTCAGTCTCAAGAGTAAGATTGTTGTCGAATGACGCGTGTAGTAGTTGTGAAACTATGCCTTCCTCAGCCATTTCTCGTACCTTTCAAGTTCAGGCATAGGGTTGGGTAGCCATCTTTCGTTACCAACCTTCACGCTTGATTTCCACATTCGCGAAACAGCTTTGTAAACACTTGGCGCCTCCGCTGCTTTTGGTGGAAGTTCGAACCAAGAATATCTTGGAATATGTCTCTTCCAAATAACGTCTACGCGAATCAGACTATTCCAATGCTTGCAAACTGAAGCAGAATTGCATAAATCGTGGATTGACAAGTTACAGAAGATCTCTATAAGGACTATATACGGAAGTTGTGAACTTTCTGAGCGGCAGCCATCTTAGACTAGTTAATGTCGTGCCCAGTGTCTTCTCCTTTTTTGATTTTTAGCGAGGAATAGATATTGTCTTCCTTGCTTACTCACACAAAAAAATAAAATTAATCACGCAGGTCAATGTATAGAGGAGTTGGTTTTTCGTCAGCAACACGGATAAAATTAGGGACGGCAAATAGGATGACAAACGTCCCTCTCCACCCCTATCCGGTACTCCTATTTTTTTTTTTTTTTTTTTTTTACCTATCTAACCGTGGTGGATTGGAGCCGAATCACGCGATCGAAATATGACTCTGGGTAGCCGAGGATGTTATAAACAGTATTTTTATCATCTAACTTCCCGGTAAATGATGTTCAGAGGAATTTTATGCAACGGCAATGATGGCAACATCAGAAGAAAACGTCCTCTAAAGACATCGGCAGTTTTAATGTAAGACACTTTTTCTCCGGACGATTTTATCGATGCCACGACTAATTGGTAAACAAAGCTGAAGGGAGATTTACGCGAATCTAGGATGACAAAGGATGCTGCTTTCACCATTCTTCCTTCGTACAACAACATATCAACCACTAGAGTTCCGCCCGACCAGATCAAGACTGATATCTGTCAAAAGATTCTATATGAGAACGTCAACGGCAGGTATGCGAGGATCAATTCAGACTTCGTTACATTCATTTAACCGCGATCGTCTAGACGGTTGCGTTAGTTCGTTGTAAAAAGCGAAAATACTTTCACTTTCTTTTTCATCGATAAACATTGATGATCGAGAAAAATTTACTATATCAATTATATCTAGGTCATTAGGGAACAATAAGGTAAGAGGCTTCCTACAATGTGCAGCACACAGCAACCAAGCAATGGTGAACAAAGGACAGATTGGCGTCTGGTTTATTTAGACATTTAATTTGACTCCATGAAAGTAGATTCTTGTTTTAAAATTAGTTTTGCAAGGATCATAAGTAGAAGTTGAGCCCCATTATCCAACAGGCTGTCTCCTCTTGCATAACCTTCAAGGAATCTTGTTAGATTCCAAGGCCAGGTTGTTCAAAGCTGGGTTAAGATAACCCAGGGTTAGTGTGAACACTGATTTCAGATCTTCAGTATAATTATTTTTGTCTACATTTTAATGATTGGATGTTCTGAAATGAATTGAGAAAAAAAATCAGCAAAAAGGCTTTTGACCAAAGGGATAATGAAACTTGGATTAAAATTTAACGTTGGGCTAGCACTGATTGGACTTTGAACCACTGGACCAAGTTCTCTAAAAAGGTATTTGTTTGGAAGGTGCAGTAATGTATTTCGATGCACAACATTGAACATTTTACTTATCATTCTTTCATTCTCTTTCCGTATAGTCACATCAGGATTCTTGATGTAATCCTCCTGATTCCAAACATTCTGTTTCTGATGTTCCTTATGTACAGACTTGGAGTAGCTCATGTACAGCTTAGCAAAATAAGATGTCCAATTGTGAAGACTGTTTATTTTATGGTAGGGATTGAGATGATTTTAAAAAGAAATGCAACCAAATTCAGAAATTCATGCAGGCCTTGCAAAGCCATGCCCTCAAGAAATTTTCACCCACAAGTTTTCATTTTGAAATACCTGATGTAACAGGTATCAAAGGACTTCTTAATTGATTTTGTCTTTCGATAGGTATTCTTTGTCTGTATCATTGGAACAGCAAGATGCTTTGTCTCGATGCTTCTGACGTCAATCTTGAAATTACATCACAAGGATTCTCTGCCAACAAAGGTCCTTAAATTCTTTGACATCTGATAATTTTATTTTGGTGATAGGCTGTGTCAGGGTTTCTATTCAATGGTGTAATAGATGCAAAAAGGAAGGCACTGTAATGCAAACCTATGGAAGCTTGTCAGTTCCGCAACATAAGAGGGCAATAATTAAAGCTTGCAATATTGGCCATCACAATCATTGAATCTGATAATGTTTGGCACTTAAAACACAGCACTAAGAGGGTCTGCGGTCATGCTTAGACTTCCCACTTTTCTTTTTCCACTTTTAATTTTCAAATATCCACTTCTCACATCCTTCTATTTAACTCCCACTTCCCAATTCTCCCTTCCCACTTTTCACTTTCCACTTTTCACTTTCCTCTTTTCACCTCTCTCTCTCTACTTTTCACCTCTTCATATCCCTCTTTCCCCTTCCCACTTTTTGGGTTCTTTGTGTCATGAGTTGAAACTTGTATTTTAATGCAAAATATATTTTTCATAGATTTTGTGGATTATACTGAGATGCTTTTTGTTAGCAGTTGAAGTGAGTGTCATAATATTTGCGGTCTGGGCAGGTATGGACAAGAGTCAACTATTGAAAGATGTAAATATTGATTGACTTCATTTAAAGGTGAATTATCACAAACTATGTTTGCCTTTAGGGAACATGCAAGATGGACGCAAAGGTGTAAGGAGAGTTCTGGGTCTGTCACTATTTTGTGCAGTTGCATATTCATCAACTCAGGTTTGCTGCTTTTTGTGATGTTTACCACCTTAAATCTTAAACTTCTATGACTGACCAAGACAGAATTTCACCTAACATTATCATTACAATATCAAGCAGATAAGTGATGAGAATAAAGAAAAATATCAGTTAAGGGCTTATTAGCTGATCCAATACCAAATTCTCAGAACTAGCATTACATGAGTTCTACAGCAAACAGTAAAGAGAAGAACTAGTGAGATCTTTGGACTGACAGTAGTAACAGCATTTTCCTCATCCTTCTTCTTCCTCTTTCTCCTCTTCTTTCTTTTCTTCACTTTGTTGTATAGTGATAATTATTGATGATAATTATACAAATAGCTAGAGAAATAATATTTATAATGATAGCAATCATAATCATATTATTCTATTATTATTATTATTATTATTATTTTATCTCTCAGTTAGTGCGGACGCTATGATTGGTCATTTTAGCGGATCATATTTCCACAGCATGCTAAATTCAGAAGTTTGTTTGACATAAAATCCTCTCCCTCCCCCCCTCCCCCCCCTTCACACACACATTTGAACCCAGATATTTATTAAATACCTTACTACCTTTGTTTTCTCGGTCTGTACTGTAAGTTTTGGAACCCCGTTTTGTTTGCTCGGATTTATGGCTCACACACTTCGCACTGGACTAAATATCCGATTGGAAAAAACTCGGTCCATAACTTACTGTACGGATTTTTGACTCGGTTAGTAGGAGGTATACATACAGTGTACTATATGCCATAACCATTTGTTGGTTGTGGCTCTCTTAGCAAGACATACTTGATATACTTAACAATGTAACAATCACTTTATGGTAATCATCATTACCTTCAACATTGTAAATATTAATTCTTCTATTTTCCTGGTACTCAGGCCACGCTTGAGTTTGTCAAATGCCCAGGAATAAATGGCCGAATTTTTGGAAGTGAAAAGTATGATTTCTATGGACATGGTGGATTGTTGTTTTTGTCGTCTACTTCTCTCTTTTTAGCTTTGGTAAGGGTGATCTTATTTATCTACAATTAGATCAACACAAAACGTTTTAAAAGAAGCCGCTATGAAATATAGATGACAAGTTCAAGTTTAAGCTGATTTCCAATAATCAATCCCATATGCAAACCGCCGAGGCAAAGTTTGATTTTCTGTTTGTAATAAAGCATCATGTTCGGTAGTAGTTTAATCAAATTAATTTGCTTTTATAAACCGAGTTGGTAATGCAAACTGGTCACAGTAAAGAGTTACCGAAGCTGGCGCTTCGAGTCCTATGTCATTCGCTCTGACGAAGCCCTTTTTTTCATCTTTTATTTCCTCTCCTTTCAGGTATATCTTACTATACTCATATTGCCGTGCACCAAGCTAAGAGAGTGGTTTGTTTTACCTGGTAAGATTGCTTTTAAGTTTCAGCCTGGCAAATATACTTGTAGCCTCCCTTCTGGAGGACCACACCCACGTTAGTCTTTTCACAGGGCTCCATTCAAAGTTCCCACGTGGATCTATTCGATTTTCTAACAGGCTCTCTGAGACTAATACTCTCTGTTAAACAAGGAAGTACGATTAGGAACTTTTATTTGCGTTTCGCCGTTGAATTTAGAGCGCAATTAAGAGTTAGTGTCGTGAAATCAAACTTAAGGTAATCCGATTTTCCATTTTCCTGCGAGCATTCTCTTCGGTACGACCATTTCTCCGCTCTTGGGAAAGTATGAGGCTTTGAGGAACGCGAGAAACCGAGAGGAGGTCTAAAAGGGTCTGGCACTGATGAGCTAGCCGGCAAACTTCTCTCTGTTTCGTCTTAAATCTTCCTGCGGGCGGAGAAACACGCGTCCTGCAGCGCTAATAATGATAATAATCAAACTGCCTGAGGCACGGGAAAACAAAAGGGACCAATTTGCGGTTGGATTTCGTTTTGCTTCTGATTGGTTTAGAACGTCGTGCGAGTTCTCTGGACCAATCAGTTAGGTCCATGCAGATGACGTCTGCCCCTGACTTACGTTTGGTGTTCTCCTCTATAGGGCGGAAATCTTTCTACTTGTATTGTGCTGTGATGTGTGTCGTGAACCTAATGCAAGGTTCTGCAAGTCTATTGATGTACGAAAGTTTTGTGCAAAGTTTATGGTAGGTACCGGATCTCTTATATATTACGTTGTTCTCGTAGTTTAGGGTATATAACCAGCTTTCAAGGAAAAACACTCGAATTGTCAACTTCACAACTTTAAAGGATTGGTGGTTCGTTTAAACCGTCAGCCCAGTTGTCAAACGGCCTTTATAATAATTCTTCTTTCAATAAAGTTGCCTGTACCTGATAGCAGTTTTTCTACGTTGCACTTGTATATTGTTCTGGTCCCCTTTTCTTAGCAAGTCTGTTTCAAAATCCCTTCCCTAAGCTAGCCTGGACAAAAAGCTTTTTCTAGATCGTGGCATATTAACCTCATAAACTGTATCCAAAGACAAATGAATAAAGGGGGTAAGTTTCTAAAGAAACTGTAGAGCTGCGTCGGTGGGAGAGTACAGTAGGTAATTTAGTGTTAGCAACTGAGTTGAAAACGTAAATTAGCCACCGTAAAGGGTA